ACACACACACACACACACACACACACACACACACTCAAAACACACAAACACCAACATTTTCAGCAGGCGTACCAAGCACTTCAGTATTGTAGAGGAGACCAACAGAGACTCTCAGAACACACAACATATTTACAGCCACAAGCAGTGAGGAATTTCCCAGAGTTTCACCCACTGCTTTCCGAGGCTGGGGGAGGAGGGGGAGGGACTGGTTGAATATTCCTCAGTCCTTCTAGGCCCCAGGTTCTAATAAGCCCTGTCCTCCTGGGGTCCTATGTGAGTCATGTATGCGCCGGTCTTTATAATTCCGAGTGCTAATAGACCCTTGGCGTTATAGGCCCTGTTCTAATAGACTTAGAACCTTGCTCTAAGTCCTATTAGAGCCCAGTTCTAATAGGCCCCAGTTCTAATAGACCCCAGTTCAAATAGACCCCAGTTCTAATAGGCCCCAGTACTAATAGACCCCAGTTCTAATAGGTCCCAGTTATAATAGGCCCCAGTCTTAATAGACCCCAGTTCTACTAGGTCCCAGTTATGATAGGCCCCAGTCTTAATGATAGGCCCCAGTCTTAATAGACCCCAGTTCTAATAGACCTCAATCCTCACAGGCCCTTTCCTCTTGCGTCTTAGCCTTAATTGGTGTCAGTCTCATTGATTCCCAATTTCAATAGGCCCCATTCCTGACACACCCAAAGCCAATCTAATCTAATGTAACTTTAAGGGACTGAGTCATCGTACAAAGGAAACCTCTTCCTTAATTGGCCCCAGTGACCTCACAGTCTTAATGGGCACGGCTGGGTTAATGCAGGGTAAAGTTTAGACTCAAGTAGGATTGGAGTACAGTAGCATTTGAACACAGTAGGATTAGGACTCGGAAACCAAACAAAAACAAACATTCAGTAGACAAGAGACATAAAAACAACCAACAGAGAGAGAGAGAGAGAGAGAGAGAGAGAGAGAGAGAGACAATCTGCCATGAATTAAGCTATGCAAATGAACCCCTGGTAAGACGAGTTAGCATTAGTGTATTACAATCAGTGGCGGGAAACATGTTCCAGCGATCAGGTCCTTCGTTCATTAAGATTTATAACTGTCCCCCAGCGAACAATAACCCTTCACTCCTACACCCTGTTATTGTTTATGTGATTGTCAGTACCAGAGAGGAGAGGGAGGAGAGAGAGGGAGGAGAGGGGTAAGTGGTGGTCGTGTGAGTGATGGATGGTAGTGTGTGTGGTGATGGATGGTTGGTATATGCTAGAGTAGGAGGGTTGTTTGTTGAAATAGATGGATGGAGAGGTAGCGATAACTGATGCATGGTGATAATGGTAAGGTTGGTGATAGTGATGGATGGCTTCCCCCTCTTCTTCTTTCCCCTCCTCCCCTCCCTTATTTCTCCTCCTCCTCTGCCTATTCTTCTTTCTCCAACCCCCTTCTCCCCCACTCCCTCCTCCCCCACCCCTCTTCCTCTCCTCCACTCCTTCATTTCCCTCTCCTCCTCCCCCACCCTCCTCCCCACCCCCTCTTCCTCTCCTCCCTCCTTCATTTTCCCTCTCCTCCTCCCCACCCTCCTCCCCACCCCTCTTCCTCCCCCTCCTCCTCCTTCATTTCCCTCTCCTCCTCCCCCTCCTCTCCCACCCCCTCTTCCCTCTCCTCCCTCCTTCATTTCCCCTCTCCCTCCTTCCCCCTCCCTCCTCCCCACCCCTCCCCCCCCTCCCCCCTCCTCCTCCTCATAAGAATACACGTCTTAGGAGGTAAACAACAGCCAACCAATGTGCGTCTTAGCGTCTTGTGATGATAACCTCAGCGAGACAGGGCCTCCAGTACGGTTCATTGAGCTTATTCAGGGGAAGCGGCGGGAGTACCTCCACAGCCACGGGGCACGAGACACTGTGCTTGGTGGTGAGGTGGTGAGTAGTCAGTGGTGGTGGTGTGAGTGGTGGTGGTGAGTAGTGAGTAGTGCTGGTGGTGAGGTGGTGGTGGTGGTGGTGGTGGTGGTAGTGGTAGTGGTGGTGGTGGTGGTGGTGGTAGTGATGGTAGTAGTAATCTTGACTTTTAGCAAGATCGACAGACCAACACTGCCAGACCGACAGACCGACAAACCTAGACAGCCAGACCAACAGACAGACCGACAGACCAACACAGCCAATCACCGTCATGGGTAATTACCTAATTTATGAAACAGCAACAGGAGAAAAAAAATCACCTTTGTCAAACTGTCAACACACCTGACAGCCGAATGTAATTAACAACTGTTTCCTCTGACATTTAAATCACGAAGATCAATTTACATGTTCTGTCTTGATATATATTCAGACAGATGGACAGACAGACACAGAAACACAGACAGATATGCACACACAAAAAGCCACACATAGATATACATACACACACGCGGGGATACACACATAAGCAGACAGACAGACAGACAGACAGACAGAGAGACAAACAGACAGACAGACAGACAGACACACTATAGGACCTCCGTTGGTGTCGTTATTATTTTTTCACTTCCTTTATTTTGGTCACCCGGTGTAATGTTTCCTCCTGACAGGTACAACAGTGACGTCAAGGGCCAGCGGTGAGAGGAGGTGGCTGTGGGAGAGAGAGAGAGAGAGAGAGAGGTGTGGATGGAGCGAGGGGTTGGAAGGAGAGATGGAGGGCGATGGGGAGGAAATAGGGCTGTGAAGGGATGGATGGGAGGGAAGAAGCGAGGGGAAGAAGAGAGGGAGAGAGGGAGGGGACCTAGCCTAGCTCTCACGACCTATTGAATTATTATAGTGTTATACTCTCTCTTTTACATACACACACACACACACGCTAGTACTTCTATTACTACTTTGCTGTCACTCGGAATCGAGTTTGACTATCATCCAGCTATGATACAATGGTATGAGTTATTAGGGATGTCACCTAGGTTGGTGAATTTTGAGGTGATTAAAGAGACCGATACGGGACCCGCAGGGTCGTCCACATGAGTTGCACATATGGGGGGCTACATCTAGTGCGGGAGGGGCGGTGGCAGCGTCTTTCCGGTGTTTGCGCTTGTCTGCCTCGGTTTGCAGTCGGGCTAACTCGAAAGTATTGACACCTTCCCGTGTGGTGCTCCTCCAAGCGTTACGATGTGGAGTGATCGACTCCCAGGTGAGGGGGTCGATTTGGCACTTTTTCAGGTTTGTCTTAAGACTATCCTTATACCTTTTCAGTTGCCCGCCGGCGTTACGTTTACTATTCGTTAGGTGACTGTAAAGTAGCTGCTTTGGCAGTCTACTGTTGTCCATGCGGGTAACATGGCCAGTCCAGCGTAGTTGTTCATGGATAATGGTAGCCTCGATGCTCCTACACACACACAGAGTACAGCGTTACAACAGCACCGCCGGTAACTGTACTCTACATAGACGTAAGAGGATTTATTCTGTAAGGTAACCGACTACAGTAAGTCACCTGAAATAAAAAAATACAGCAAAATAAATAAAAAAAGGAATAAACTCGATGAACTTACGAAGAAAAAAAACACAACGCGATTTTTTTTAGAATAAACTTAAATTTTTTTTAAAAACAATTCCAATACAAAACTGAAGATCTAATTTGTTGAATACCGTGATTATTTATATATATATATATATATATATATATATATATATATATATATATATATATATATATATATATATATATATATATATATATATATATATATATATAAATAATCACGGTATTCAACAAATTAGATCCCTTCTTTACGAAAATAAACACGATAATTAACCAATGAGAAAGCTATATTTTTAACTCACAATAAATCATTGATGTATTAACTTAATGACTCACCCTGTAGCTTTATTTATACTGTACATAGAGAGTAGGAAAATACATAAAAGTACAGGGTGGTTCATAAACTGTTACTCTACGGTGTCTGCCAAATAAAAAAATCCTGACAGCTTTTGACATTTTTATACAAAAGGTTTCCAGTTCTCTTTCCAGTTGGTCAGAGATGGGAAATTTTTTTCGATTTTATTTACTTTTGGGGATAAATTTCTCTCCCTGTGGTAGATGTTAGGTCAATGTTGGTGTTATAACGATAATAAATTCGCATGTATGTTGGATGTTAACTTAGTAAATGTAGAATTAATGTTGGTTTTTCTTTTAATCTCTCTCTCTCTCTCTCTCTCTCTCTCTCTCTCTCTCGTACTAACCAACACATACACTCACACTCTCTCACACATATAAATACACACATACATACACACAGATATGTAGTCATGCTTCCATTGCTGCCCCCCTCTCTATCTCTCTCTCTCTCTCTCTGTTTCTCTGTTGCTCTCTTTTTCCCTCTCTCACACATTTCTCACCCTGGGTCAATCTCAGCCCTCACATGCGGTAGAAAGATCACTCAATGGATCTCTCAGTGAGGTCCTGCAGTCAATCAAAAACCAAAGAAGGCAATTTTCTTTCACGTGATTGGCTAATTTGCATTTTTCTTGAGTGCTAATGGGTATAATGGTGAGGTGAGAAGAATGGTGGGAGATGTCGAGAGAGAGAGAGAAAGAAAGAGGCCAAAGGTGAAAAAGTGAATATTTTCCCTAAGCAAATCACGAAAAGAATAACAAAATAAACAACAACAAAATATAACACAGGCACTATTTTCCCCTGCATTTTCCCTGCCCCCCCCCTACATAAAAAGCCATACGTCTGGCAACACCGCACGAGAACAGGGAAAAAAACACCATCACCACAAATTAGGGAGGAAAAAACTCTTAGTTGAATACTCACTGGAGGTTGTAGAGGCCAATGAATAACCTCAGAACATTCACTGGAGGTTACAAAGGTCAATGAATAACCTCAGAGTACTCACTGGAGGTTACAGAGGCCAATTAATATCCTCGGAGGTTATGGAGGCCAAGGAATAAGCCCAAGGGTACTCACTAGAAGTTACATAGGCCAAGGAATAAGCTCAGGGTGCTCACTGGAGGTTACAGAGGCCAAGGAATATGCCCAAGGGTACTCACTGGAGGTTGTTGAGGCCGTGGGTGTAGTTGTCGAAGAGGTGTGGCCTCATGTATGCCCAGAGCTCGGGGTTGATCTTGGACACGTAATACTCAACTGAACTGGCTCGTAACGCCCCTATCCTCTGGGACATCAACTGTGGAGGGAAACACGTACAGGTGAGACACAGGTGAGACACAGGTGAGAATACTGATGTTAATGTTAATGCACAGGCGAGACATAGGTGACAAACAGGTGAGACATAGGTGAGAAATAGGTGAGAAACAGGTAAAAATAACGCTGAGAAGGAAGTGAATATCAAAATCCTTGCCATAACACAAGAGAGAGACGTGAGGCAGGTGCGAGAGAAATACATTATACAACACACGTGAGAGACACAGGTGAGAGACACAGGTGAGAGACACAGGTGAGGGAAACAGATGTGCATTATCATACCATAACAAGATACAGGTGTGGTGGTGGAGGTATGGCCTAATCTAATATACATCACAAACACGTAAGTAAAAAATAAATAAATAAAAAATAAATATATAAAAAAGTTATTATTTGGTGGGAAAATATTTATAGTTTGGGATAAAAATTAATCCCATGAGAATTAAATTGATGTCGGATTAAATGTCTAGATTAATTACAATTTTCACTACACGTTGTTAATTATAAAGTATTATATATAAGCGAGAGATAATATATATATAATTTATCTAAGTAGGAGTAAAAAAAAAATAATAATAATCCCATTTAATTCGTTTACTTATGATTATTTTTTTTTTTTATTTCTGGTAAATGTTACAGAGTGTTGAAGGTTTTAATAGGTAGTAATATTTATATCAACATTTAACTTTTTCACAAAGAACTTTTTACATCCAAACTATTAAAAATTTTCCACTCCGATATTTCCTCCACGCAGCATAAAAAGTTTGTGTTATATTGGTGTATTTTTCTCTTGTAAGTGTGTGTAGTGTGTGTGTGTGTGTGTGTGTGTGTGTGTGTGTGTGTGTGTGTGTGTGTGTGTGTGGTCCAGTCTTAAGGGAATTTCGACGCCATCTTGACTGGAATCAAACCACCTTAAGGCTACCACACCACACCACACCACACCACACCACACCACACCACACCACACACCACACCACACTACCTGCAGCCCACCACTAATAATACTTCACAGGTAACGACTTTACAAACAACTCCTTCAGTATTTCCAATCCACTTTAACTGTTGCTGATAATTACCAAAGACTGTTTCTCATTTGTAAAGAGTTTGTGATAATTAACCTGGGCGATTTTTCTTTTTAATGGATTTTAGTGATAGAAATAGTGGTGGTGGTGGTGGTGGTGGTAGTAGTAGTAGTATTATAATAACACCAACAATAATAACAACAACAACAACAACAACAACAACAACAACAACAACAACAACAACAACACCCTCACAACAAAAAACAACAAAAAATCACCAAGCGAATATTTGTCATTTCCCACAAGTCCTGTGTGTTAAAACTCGCTCGTAAAATCCACGACGGTGTATTTTTCCCTTCTCTCTTAACAGCTTGTCCAGGACGGGTAAATCTCTTCTTTTTACGGCCGGGGATAGACGGTATGGCGTGAGTTGACCCGTGGGAGGAGAGTCGTAATAGTTGTTAGTGGATGGACCGCTCTCAACTCAAGGTGAGGACGCAGAGATAGAGCAAATTCCACTTTTCCCTCTAGAATTCAACTCCACTTTCTATTTGGAGGGGAGTGGAGTTGATGGTTAGAACGCCACTTTTCATTTGGAGGGGAGTGGAGTTGGTGGTTAGAACGCCACTTTCCACTATATTCTCATCTATCAATCTCATCCTTTTCCAGTGGGACATTTTTCTTTGATTATATTCTTTGTTTTCTTCTTCTTTTTGAGGGGAGGGGAGGGGAGGGAAAGGAGGGAAGGGATAGAGAGAGTTTCTACATCACTACATAGCTATTTCCTCATCACTACAACTCCCCTTCCATCACACAACCTCTCCCAATATCTCTCTCTTTCCACCCCCTCAATTTTCTCTCTCAGCAGAAGTAAAGTTTAATATTCAATTCTCTGGTTTTTTTTTTTTTTCACATCAATAAAATACAATAATTTTCTATTCATTCTACTATCTATTGAACTGGTCATAACAACAACAACAACAACAACAACAACAATAACAACAACGAAAATATGACCAAACAATAACAGTAATAATAAAAAATAAATTAAAATAAACGCAAAAAATAAACAAAGAAAAAATAAAATACCAAACCAAAACAAATTTCGTTGCCCCTAACAAAAAAAAGTTTCCCTCTCGTCAGCAGCTGGTCACTCAACACCTCCAGGGCAAGTACAGGTCTACAATATATTAAAAGAAACAATTCCCTCCAAAAATACAACAACTTTCCACACCAAACTTTCTTCACGTGAGCTACTTTTTTTTTTGTTGAGCTAGGAAAGTAATAAAGGATTAAAAAAAAGTTTGTAAAATAGTAGTGGTGTTAGTTTTTTTATTATTTTGTAAAGTATATATATTTCTCACTGGAAAATTCGCAAATGTTAGTCAGAATGTTTTCAAGCAACAAATTTATGCTGATATCTGTTGGTAAAATTTTTTATATCAGACTATGTACCAGTTT